TTCAAATACAGAATGATAGAGAGTGCGGAAGGAGTCACAAACCTGAAGGAAGGAGATATAATGATGTCACTGATGTGGTTTGACCCAAATTCTAGTGGGTATTGGGGTGGTCTTAAATAGATCAAAATTATGGATCGGAGGAAAAGTCGCCGCATTTTTGCTAGCCGGCGCTAGTTGGACACTCGAGTGAGCCTGGAAAAAAACAACCTGAGACTTGATGGCTCGTCTTGTGTTGCCTAGTCGCTGAGCGAGTGCACGAGTCGCGTTCAAGTAATAAAGTGAACTTTTATGTCCTGATTGTCGATCCCTTGAAGAATGTCTACTTTCGATTACATAATTTCAGTCAATTTAATTTTAACAATAAAAGCAAACACACAATAAGATATAATTTTGGGAAATAAGGAAAATTAACTAAAAAATTGCAAAATAAGAAAATACAAACACTTGGAAAATTTGGAGGAAAAACGTGATTGGTATTCATAGTTTCGCTTAATTGTCTCCTAATTAATTTCTCTAGAAGTCAATTAATAATTTATTCATTTACAATGTTAAACCCGATTTTTCAATTTTTGTTAATTACTTCTCTCGAGCAAATTAGCCCTAATTGATTGGTGAACATATTATATCTCTATGTCGATTAAAATCAAACAACCGCATTAAATTTTTGGGAAAATAGCTCAATGGATCACCTAGGATTAGAGATATATCTATATCCCATACACAAATCTAGAGTATTTACTATTTGGTATAAAATGTACAATTTTCTCTCGAACGATGTACAAATCATTAAACTCAATCATTTAATGGCTAAATAAATAAAAGACATTCAACACTACAATAAATACACATGAAAATAAGTATTTTAACATTAAAATGTAAATATTAAAATTAATTAAAGTTAGGTTAACTCTAACTATAAATCTCAACAAAAATACTTAGCACATATTATATAAATGATAAAAAAAAGTGAATATTTTATACGATACATTACAAATATAGCAAGATAATTGAGAAAATACAAAATTATAAATAAAAACCCATTTTTGAAATTTGGCTTTGACTTCCCCAACTATTTCTCCAAATCCTTAGGTGTATTCTCCTTGTACTTTTGATTTTGCTCCTAAAATAATCAAAAGAAAAAGAAAAGGAAAGAAAAGAAATGAATGAAAAAGAAAAGCTGCCCCCAGTTGCCGTTTTTAAGGTTTTAAAAACTTAGAGAAATTCGCAGCCAAGTCTTCAAGTTTTGAAAAATGACAAAAAGGTCTCCGAGTTTTAAAATGGCGCCTGGGCCACTTCTCTGCCAATGTTTCAGGTTTTCATTTTTATTTTTTCAACACATGTTCTCTAGAAATGTGCACTCAAGGTCCCTGAACTTTAAACTTGTACAATTTGATTATCAAATTTTGACTTTACTTTCATTTACACCCTCCAAAAATTGCATCCAATGTCCTTCAACTTTATGGACTTGTTCATTATGGTCCTCAAGTTTTTTACAAATTTGGTCATTTTCTCCTCTTTTTGCCTTGTTCCATTATCTTGGGTGATTTTTACCAACAAAAGTAATAATTACATAATTGTAAGTAGAAATTCCCTCATTTAATCAATATTTAAGCTTATTTAGGTATTACTCAGACAGTGAACTAGTTCCAGATGCAAATCTTAGAACCCCATGACTACCATCCCTAGATTTTCACTAAAATATTGCAATGTGTCATTTTGTAATAAACCCTTCTACATTTCCAGTTTATATTATTGTACCCGAGTCTGTTAATGCGTAAAAAGTAGATCCTCTACTTTAGAAAAAGTTAGGCCTTGTGCACCTCGTGTGCACAGTATATGTAAACTATTATAGGTTAACAGGATGGTTTCTCCCTTATAAAAGCATGTTCCATCCTACTTTTAAGATCATCGGGAGTTTGAAATAAAAACGCAATATATTATATCTAATCCTCAACAATTTCTTTCTTTCCTTGAACCTTCTGAATTAAGATTGATATAATGAAATAATGATTTAAATTATAGCAGTACTGTTTTAGTATTTTCCGTAGTTGCCTTTGTAAGAAATCCTCTGCATCAAAATGATCATTCTGTTAACTAAAAGATTCAACTTAGGTAAACCATAAGAGTAAAAGTTCAAGATAACACAAAATCTATAGTAGTTCATTTTTAACGTGAGAGCAATGTGTGCGCTAGGAATACTTACGTTATGGTTGCACACTTATATTAAATAACACAAACAATGTCCACTTTAAAATGCAATATTTCTCTAATGTTGTGTGAATTTCACATCATTGTTTACTTTAGGAAAATTTGCACTTTTCGTTCCAAGCTTTGCAAAATGTAAAAAATTTACCTTCAACCTCCAACATTTAGCAAAACTCGTTTTTATTTCGTTTTGTCCCATTAAATGATGTATTTCCCTTCTCTTTAAATAAGTAAAAATAAAAGAAAGCAATAAACAACAAAAAATAAGAAAAAATTGTGAACGGAACTTCTCAAAACATACAAATACATACTGCTTAATACAATTAAATACATATTATCACAAAAATAATGTTTTAAAAATTAATTTTCCTCAACCAAGCTCACCCACCACCCCATCAACACCTCCACCTGACCTATTCCTAAGAGAAATTCAAGAATTTCAGGTGTTTAAAGTTTCAAATTCAAAAATCAGGAACCAAATTTCAATCTTCAAAAATCAGGTGCTATGTAAAAACCCTAACCCTAATTTTTTACCCTCCACCCACTCCCCTCCCCCTCTCTCTCTCTCCCCTCCCCTCCCCTCTCTCTTCCCGTCTCCTCCTTCACCTCCCCCTCCCGTCTCCTCCTCGATTCGCAGCTGCGATTCTGGTTAGCTGTTGGAATCGCAGCTGCTGCGATTCTGGTTGGTTTTTGGTGATTTTTTTTGTGGTGGTGATTTTTTTTGTTGTGATTTTGCGGTGGAGGCGTGGTAGTGGGTGTGTTGGCTGATTGCTGTTGTTGGCTGTTGGCTGGTGGTGGTTGTGGTTGGCGGGTTGGTGGATCTATTGTTGTTGGCTGACGGTGGTGGTTGTGATTGGCTGTTGGTGGTGGTGGATCTATTGTTGGCTGTTGGCTGGTGGTAGTGGCTGGCTGTTAGCTGGAGGTGGTGGATGTGGTTGGCAAGGTGGATCTATCGTGGTTGGGGTTCAGTCGTGTGTTCTGTGGCTGGGTAGTCTGTGTTGGTCCATCTGTGACCTGTGACCAAGTATCGGTGGTAGGCGGTAGTATGTGACCAAATTTTTGTTAATCTGTGACCAATTACTCAAATGTGACCAAATTTTTGTTAATTTGTGACCAATTACTTAAATGTGACCTAAAAATTTAATAATCTGTGATTTCGAAATAATATGTGATCAACTAATTTAAAAATCTGTGATCTCGAAATAATTTGTGACGTATAAATTTTTTGATATGTGACCTCGAAATAATTTGGGATCAAAAAATTTGACGATATGTGACCAGTAAATAAATCTATAACTTAAAATTATGAATATGTGACCATTAATCACAAAATGTGACTTTATTATCTTTATTCAATAAATATTTTTAATTAATTAAATAAATACCTGATTTTTGAATTTTTAAACTATTTACCTTATTTTTGANAAAATTATGAATATGTGACCATTAATCACAAAATGTGACTTTTTTATCTTTATTTAATAAATATTTTTAATTAATTAAATAAATACCTGATTTTTGAATTTTTAAACTATTTACCTTATTTTTGAATTGAGGTAAAAAATACACCTTAAATATGATTTTTTCCCTATTCCTAAACCACCCCTTTCTCCACCCGCAGCCCAACACCAGTCCAATATAGTACAATATGGATTGACTTCTTTTTTCTCAAAGAGACGATATGACACTTATTGTTTCTTTCATAATGTCGACAATTTAATTAAATTACTTGTTACAATTGACTCAAGAAAATGGTATATTTTATATAATTATCATAATACTAATTAAGCATTCAGTTGTATGAAGACTATTATTATCATTATTTTTTAAAATTATTGCTTTCTGAGAAGTTATGAACTCCATTTGTAAGTTTTCCTTATTTTTCGTTGTTTTGCTTTTTTCTATTTTTATTTATTTACAGACAGACAAATCCGTCATCTAATGACCAAAATGGAGGAAATGACAAGTTTTGCTACATAATTAAAAGGTTGAAAGTAGATTATGCTAAAAAAAAAAAAAAAATTAAGAGTAGACTTGTTATATTTCGTACAGGTTAAGGGCGAAAAATGCAATTTTCTCTTCTCTACTAGCCTTCACACGGGAGGAAATATTAGGACGATACATGTGCACAATTTCCAATATATACGTAGTTAGGTTGAACTACGATCAAGAAAAAAAGTGTAAAATATAATTAAGCTCCGCACATCCAACCATCAGGAGCCTAAAATGAACGCAAATATGGCGTTTCTAAGAATCTAGCCTTAATTTAAACTCGAAGAAAGAGTGGAACGATTGGGGACAATTTGGAGCATGGAAGCAAAGATCTCGAAAACATACAAATAATGTGCTTTAGTGAACATACAAACTGCTAATCAATAAATGAAGTAACAACGATCTGAAGACTGAAATAGTAATAACAAATATAGAGTAGCTACATCGGGTAAGAAGCTGGTTTCTGTCCCCCCAAGCAAAAGGTTGACACAAGAACTCTGATCTCATAACTATCCAAGAATTAACATAAATGCAACTTAATTGGTGCACATACTAGACAAGCTCAAACATATATTGCAAATACACCATTTGAGATGATTGTTAAAATAAAAATTACTTTGTGAAAGCAAAGATTTAAACATGATAACGGCTCTGCAAACAATACCTACAGATGATTCATATAATAACTCCAGAGACAGAGACAAAATTTAGACAATGGAATAAACCAATTCATACACTAATCAAAAGGAATAATATGTAGACACTCAGAATTTACAGTGCAATGCCCTGGCCACGAACACCTTTTACCTGAAACTCTTTAAAAGATGGGTGGAGGGACTTGAGAGACCAATGCTGCTAGACAATTTTCCAGCTTCCTTCATTGGTGTGCCACATTCACTAAAATCAAGGGTGCGCCTCTCCGTCTGCAAAAAATATGTCCAAATTAGATTATAATAGGATAATTAATCTTGAAATGACAAGAACATAGCTCTGAGAGCAGAAGAAAGCACTGGGGAAGGGGTTTTGTTTAATAACTATCTATTGGTACAGAGGAAAAGATTGTGCACCTTGCAACAAGTTCACTGAAGATAAAAAATGCATTCCTCTCAAGGTAAATCTAATGCATGTTAGACTGGTTTTACCATAAAGTCATACATAAGTTCAACAAAGCTCGAAATTATCAATGCTTTGAAGTTCAAATATTTCACAAGAAAACTCTTGTTATTTTGGCTTCAGTCATGAAACTAATTTCATCAATAATAATGGAAATGCATCTCCGTTTCTGTTACTAATAGAGGCATGGTAAACAAACAATTTGCAACTTTGGAAAGCACTCTCTTTTGGAGCCGAGGGTTGAAGATTCAACTGGTCAGGAGTTCACACAGGCAAGATTACATAACATTGTAGTAAGCCATTGTCATAACTCCGACGACTTTAAAGTACTAGGAAAAGATGTATGCCTTGCAACAGCATTATGTGTAATCATAATGTACAGCAAGAGAAAAAGAAGTGATCGGGACTAAGTTATGGGCAATTTAGAACTACGAGGAAGAAACAATAAGTCATACCAAGACATTTGAAGCCGAGCCTGTCTGACAGTTTGAACCATGATTGTTATCTTTTCCTTCTTCCAGTTTTTTCAAGCAGTTTTCCTTCAGTATCGTTTTCGGAGTTTCATCTCCCAAAATTTCCTGCGCTTCTGCAAAAGCAGCTGCAGTCTGCTCTCCTAACTGCTTCATTAACCCAATAGCATCATAACTTTGGTCCCCTGGGCTCATAAAGTAGCCGATGTCCTACAAAAACTCCGAGTATGAGTATGAAGTAAAATAAGAAAAGCAGAGTTAATCGGAAGATATTTATGTAGTAGCTTAAACAAATTATTTGACCATAACCATTTTCCAATACCTCGACCGTTATCTCCGAATCAACTCTGGGGCCTGGTACAAAAGAGTTCATAAACCAAGGGGATTTCCATGCCGAAGGAGATTCAAAGCTCCTTTTGAATGGTGTGTCTACATATCTAGAAACAGAAACCAATTCAAAATAGGTTATGAGAAACATAGATAGATTTCTAGCAAATTAACACAAACAAAAGAGAAACCAAATCGGAATATGCAGATATTATCTCATCTCACATGCTATTGTTTTCAACATCTACACCTTTGCTAGAACTACCAGCTTTATTCGCCAAGGGACTCATGGATTGCAGGGATTTAGTTATGACCATATTAGTCCCATCCTTGTTCGCGCATATTCGAGGGGAGCAAACAACAGACAAACAATGAGTCTCAGATGAAGCTATGATAGCCCCATGTGTTGATACTGTGTCTACTCTTCTAGAATATTTATTTCCAGGAACTTTAGCAATTAGGCCAATTTCTCTATCACTTGTGGTCCCAATATGGTCCGTTGAAGAGAATTGTGGGTCATTCATATCACGTTCAACAAGGATTCTAGAAGAATCTGTAACCTGTCATAAATGAGACAGTAACACGTTAGCTCATAGATTCCATCAATGTAAAATATTAAGGAAGGGATTTAACTAAGTTATTTCATGTCTTGTGCAGTCCTTATGATAAGCATAGCTGTAAAAGCCTTGATTGCTGAACCGAATGGCTAAATAAGTTCATAAAATGCAAGATCTATGATTCATAACAAGTAATTCAATATATTATCACATCGAAGGACCTAAACATCCAAAAAAAAAGCTTTAATGAAGAAGGCCTGATAGGTAAAATAAGCATGTCAGTAGCATTAAAAGAACGTTCATAACAAAGTATTGCATTTTCAAGATCTAGTGGTCCACAATCACCCCTTATCTAGTAGAGATGGCAGTGAAAAGAATACTCACAGTTTGCACCGAATCATTGCCTCCAGCCATATTTTTGACATCCATAACAACACTATGTTCTTTTATCTTGTTTGTAATCTCACCGCTGTTTAGCGCTTTCTGTAACATTCTGCTTCCTGAAACTACAATGCTTTTGTTGCCCTCCTTTCTCCCGTCTTCAAAACCAGGGTTCACGTTTTCTTTTTCAACACAATTAGATTCTGAGTTTCTTTTATTGTTTGGAGATGAACACAACATATGTCCTTTTTGATCCACACATTCATCAAACCCGACCTCTAGTCCAGAAAATTCAATTGACAGGTTGGAGAATGATTCCTGATTCAAGTCACTTTCAAGCTTCTTCCAACTTCTGTTTTCTGATACAGGAGACAACAGATCCCGGTGTCTTTTTTTCAGTTTAGATGGTGCACCTGTAAAAGTTTTGGCAGCACTTTTCAGAACAGCATCTGAACTATCTTCCCTAGACGGTGAATCCCACCATTTGAATGGATTTAAGGGAGATATCATCAATTGGCGGATGCCAAGTGGACTGTACTCTTGCTGCATATCGCTGCCACATTGAATAAGATCACAACTGAATAATGGAATATCCAGGCTTGAAAAACGAGGAGGTTCATAGAATAAAGCTCCACAATCCTTCTGTTCATCTGTTAGAACTGGATTTTTGTCCCTGGAAGAACAGCTTTGAGTATCATTTGATGCTAAGACAGAATCGTTAATTAGAACTAGCTTCGGTGAACAGTTTGCCTGTTCAGATCCATGTTCACAAGGAAAACAACCAGACTCCTTGGGACAGATAAAGTCATCATGTGTTCTTGGACGAACAGACTCCGGCTCTGTATTTCCATTCAAGGAATCATTCAACTGATAAGGATCAATACCGTACATAACTAAACCATCTTGAGGAGGAAGTTCACTTGGAACGGGGAAAGGTTTACTAAACGAAGTGCCCAGCATGTCATAACTCGTAGAACAGCAAGACTGTGAAGCAAAAGTTCCATCTTCAGGGATCGCAAAATTTGAAGATTGATGAAGTAATGAATCTGTAGATCTATCAACGCCGTCCACAACATTTTCAGAAGGATAACATCCATCCCGTCCTAACTCTGGGCATATCACCCTGCAATCTGAATTAAGTACAAGATTAGGCATATCAGAAGTCATAACCATGTTCCCGATGGGGGAAGAAGCATTCAACTCCATAAAAGTTTCTGGTGCAAAGCTTATATTTTCATTGTTGTCGTGGCCATTTAAAGCTTGCATGACTAGTTCTGATGTTTCTTGCCTCAGATCCAGCAAAGATATGTCCGGTAGATCATTCGGATAAAGATGCCGATCTTTCCCTGACAAAGGCCCCCAATCTAAAGGGAAGTTATGGTCAAGAAACTTTGAAGAGCCACTCATCTCCAAAGGTACTTCTGGCATGGAAAATGTAATGCCTGGCAAAGCAGGGCGATAATCGTCAGACCGCGTCATTGAACTGGAGCTTGGATCTTTTTTATGATTGAATTCTTCACTGACTCCACAGTCCTTTCTGGTAAGTATAATTTTATTGATCGTGTCATTTGTAGATTGAGACAAACCAACCACAGTAGAACTTTGGCTGCATTCAGAAGCTTCCTCCACTTCTAATATGTCTTTAACAACACTATCATCTTCACTACTCCACTGTGCCTTCGAAGAAGAGGATGCCACTGATTGATTTCGATGGCTGACAATAGGTGGACCTTGGAACTGTGAAAGTAAGCCTGATGCCAAATACATATCCAATTTCTTTTTGACAGAACTGTTCCAATGATTTTTTATTGCATTGTCGGTCCTGATATTATATAAGATAATTCAGATATCAAGGTGGTAAACTTCCATATTAATGGCTCAAATGATCATACAGAAGCAGCTCAGACTCACAGACTGAATAAAAGAGATGGTAAATATACGATATGTGGGAGCTCTTATTCTCTAAATACAGTAAAAATTCTACATGCAACTATCAAGTATCACTTTACCTCCCAGGCAAGAACTTTGTTAACTCTACCCACTTGTTTCCATAAATTTGATGGGCATGAATCAGAGCCAATTCCTCTTCTTGTGTCCAAGCATCTTTGTTTATCGCAGGATTAAGATGATTGTGCCACCTGTGAAATGAATGGTATAAACAAATAAAGCAGATAAATGATGACTACAAAACATAAAAACTGTTCAAGAGCTGTTTAATCACAAGAAATGAAATTTGCACGTACAATGATAAATACTGAATGAACCAGTCAACACTAGCAGAATTGCAATTAAAAAGAAAATTGAAACATAAATCTTTAACAACTTCGCCAGCAATAAGATAAAAATATCTGGAAAATCATTATATGAAGTTATTTAACAGTGAAAAGCTGTAGATAAACACGAAGAGGTCCACAGAAGAGCTAGAAAGACCAAGAGAAGCTCCTCCAAGCTTACCTTTCACGACATTGCTTTCCAATACGTCCAGGAACATGCTTTGAAATGGTGGACCATTTTTTTGGCCCATATTTGTTCACACAATGGATTATCATTTCATCCTCCTTATCACGTATACAAGATATATCAGATGATTACTCATAAGCCATAAAAATGAAAATTAAGATCGTTGACGCCAGAATGAGGCAAAATGAAATTTAATGGAGAGAAAATCCAATAGGAATGAATAAGAGTTTCCTAACCTCTTTTGACCAAGGACCTTTGACAAGTTCTGGATTAAGAACCTTTTGCCACCTGTGTAAACATTGTACATCTGTTCGGTCCTTGAAACACTCCGCTACATATAGCATGAGCTTAAATATTATTCTCTATGTTAAAAAAACGTAGACAATAGGAATTGAAGGTCAGAATTATGCCAATAAAAAAATTATAATTTCAGAAATTGATTGTCATCTTGGCTAAGAAAAACTACTTAATAGTCTAAGTCACACCAGAAAGAATTATCAAAGTATATATGACATGGTAAAAGCAAAAGGCCACAGCTTATCCTCACCACAATAGGTCATTTGCATGATCTACATATGTATTTGCCTTGGTGTTAATTACAACTGTGATCATTTAAAAAATCTAATTCTCAATGTATCAAAAAGGAATTCATAATTCTTCTCTTATATCAAATGTTGTCATAGTTTTGTGCAAGGAAGAGTATTGATAAACTCAAATTTACACACAAACTACTAAGATTCAATTTTATCTCCATATTCTTGTTAAGCCATGATGGATCATTTCTGTGTAATACCAGGTACTCTGTAAGGAATGCAGATATTCCTACTTAAAAAAGCCAACAACACATTTTACCACACAAATGCATGGCACTTGCATTATCTGACAAAATTAAACAGGGATTGACTGAATTATTATTTTTATATATAGAAAGCATTTTTTTCCCTGATATAGTTGAAAGTTCCTATAACTTAAGAAATTCAAGTATTTTGGAAACAGGGAAGGCTCTTTTTTAATATTCTGATTTACTTAATGACACACCCTATGCAATTAATGAGGTTAGCATTGATTGTAAAAATTAGCAAGTTTATACTGTAAAATAATAGTTCCAAACGGTAAACTTGGTCATAATAATACAAGGCAAACTATCCCTAAAATTGTATTAAACAAAATAATGTGTAAACGCCCTGAGCTCTAAACAGTCTCTGTGTCTGTCCCAACTGTTGTCATTAACTGAAGTAACATTGTTGTCAAACCAACGATGTTCTAAAGTAACTTTTTTCCTGGCTAAAACATCCTCATTTAGTAGCTCTATCTGTCACAATTAAGGTCCATTCTAACTAAAAAAAGTTTCATAATCCATGCCATGTCTTGTCCTATAGTCACAAGCAACCAAGGCTGAACATACCACATAATGTTACCCTATGAGAAGCTTTGAAAATTGAACAAATTTTGTTATCTAGCTACTTCGACATGATACCAAATGATATTTAGAAAACCAATAAACAAAAAATCATGCATGTAGTACCAGACATTCAATAAGTAACAAATAATGTTTTGACAGAAGCAGCAAAAGCTTTTATGAATTGATGATCAAAACTTAGTCAGTCTTCCCTTCTATGGAATATTAATACTTGGAACTTACGAGGTTGGGAGAGGAAATTCATAGTGTTAGAAATAATAGCTAAAAAGAGGAGCATAGATTAATCAGACGTCCTTTTATTGTTAACCAAGTAGTAGAGAGCTTCAATTCTTTTTCCTACCTATTTTTTTCCAGTTTTTTCCTTTGAAACGTTGAACAGCCATGCGCAGTATCTCATCCTGTGGGGAAAAAATCCATTCTGTTACAATCACAAATTAAAGGGAAAAAAAGAAGAAGAAGCAATTCAAGTTACAGATTGGTCAAATTCTGGTCATCTAAATGACCAGAAACCTGGAGAAGCACACATTCTTTTAATAATTGTAAAATAAAAGTGAAAACTATAACGTGGTTTGTGGTGATGGAGTTGGGTGAGAGAGAAAGCTAGAGAGCCTTCACTTCCTTAGAAATGGAACTTGAGGTGCCCTCTGCCTTCAAATCTAAGCATTACCAACTATATAAGTCACATATTTAACAAAGCCAGAGGATATATCTAAACATTTTCCAACTATACAAGTCACATCTTTAACAAAGCCAAATATGTCCTCTCTTGTCTAAAAAATGGGGTTTTGGGAGAAAATGAATGATAACATGATTTCTTTCCAGAGAACATGTCCATTGAGTAAATCATGTGACATATCTATATATTTTGAGCCAGCACATCATATGTCGGCCTAGTAGAACAATTAAATACTTGGGTTGAATCAAATTTTCAGCCGTATTTAACGTTACTTTTGGGTGAGGACCCCTAATATTAGAAGTATTCATCATAACATTCCTCGGCAATAAATGATCAACGTGGTTAGGATAAGCAAGATAACTTCAGAAGGCTGTTTGATGGAGGAAAATTGAGACGGTTAAAATATTGCAAGTTTAATTTTTCTCAGAGAATTTGTAAAACAGTGACATATAAAAGTTATTATATAATCGACATTATGTATTTCTCCAACAAAGATTTGTTTCAGATGTGATCAGCATTCATACCAATAAAATGCATCTGAAATTGTTGCAGATCAAAATAAGAAGCACGACCATAGTGTTAAAAACATCTATTTTAGATGCATGGAAACAAAATAAATATAAGAAAACTGAAGTTGCTAATACCATTTAAAATTAGAAGAGAACGCTAATTTACCTCTTCTGGAGTCCATTGCCCCTTTTTGGAATGCCTTGTGGGTCCAATTGTTCTCCTGCAAAAAATAAAAAATAAATCATCTCTGTGATTCCACAGAATATGCGGATTCAGTTAGTACTCTCTAATTTTGAGCAGTTGGTCATCAGTTTGACCTAAAAGCAAAGCAAAGTCGACATTTTCCAGCATACATTTACAAGAACTAAGGACCATTAAGTGTAAACCATTAAATATAACATCACAGGGATCATGGGTTCGAACAATCAACAAATCATGATTATGTTGCATTTAGCAAAGCATACCTTCTTCACCTCCTATTTGATGATAATATAAAACTCAATACATATCAAGAAATGGTTTGTTAATGAGCTATAAATGAGCATCCACTATGTCAAGCAAATAGACCTTGTTTATCACCAAGGTAGCAAAAGTAGATAACCAGATGAAACAAAATAAATAACTATTTGCAGAATAATCATTTCATGAGCTCTCAGAAAGTTACCCATGCAAAGTCTGAACTCCATGTAGACAATCTCTGGAGTCTTCTGAAGGAGTGGTGCTTGTAGTATCACTTTCCATATTTGTGTGACAGACAGGCAAATCTGAATACCCTGATTCCCACATGTCGGCAATTTTCTCCAGATTTTTTTACCCAAATCATTATACTCTACCGTAGAACGAGTTAGGCCCTCACCTATTCCAGGATGATGTCAAAGGCTAAGAGTGAAGAAGGTCAGACAAGACAAAAATGTCGGGATGTAAACAAGCAATGAAACTATTCTTGAGATGTGTCAAATTAATAGGTATTCGAAAGCATCAACTTCATTCAATGTACAATCCCAGCATTTTATTTCTGGGAAACCAAAATTTGGGAAGGCCTTGAATACTTAAGAAAAGCTTGCATCTGTTAGGAATTTTCCACCATAAAAATGAAACCAGTTTATCAATGAACAGATTGCCAAGTTTCTCGGTACCTTTCATTTATAATTTTAACCAATGTGATGTGTGGCAACTAACATTTAATAAACTCATGACCATGCGGGGAAACGAAGAAACTCAAATTTTCTAGATACCAAAAACAAAAAAAAAAATTTCCGGGATTGTTGGACTACACAACTCAAAATAAAAATTCTAACACATTGTTACGCGTGACAACTAACATTTAATAAACCAACGATTGTGTGGGGAAAAGAAACAACTCAAACTTTAAATTCCACAAATCGAATTCTAGGATTTGTGAGCTCCACAACTCATTACAAAAATTTGAACACAATGTGATGCATGGCAACTAACATTAACCCATGGCTGCACGGGAAATGAAAAAACTCAAATTTTAAATACCAAATTTAGAAAAAATCAAAACTTTAAACATGATAGCTTAAAATGCACTGTCACCCCCAAGAAAAAAAAACTAAATATGCGGGGGACCCCACTCATATTCACAAATTCTTGTTTCACATCGAGAATTTGAGCACAAATAGCTTTTTTCAATACAACAAATTGAAATCGTGCGATGGAAGTACAAAATTCTAATGACAAGTTCATCTAAAAATATCAATCCTTCTAGCTCATGTCTTTCTGTCAACTAAGGATAGGGGAAAACTAAAACAAAGAATTTTTTAAATCTGATTGCTGTTCAATGATAACATCTTGAGCATACACATTTTTTATGCTCAAATTCAAAAATAGAAAAGACCACAGTGACACAAATTATAGTAAGAAAAGACAGTACCCATGCAAAATTGAATTTCTGATCAATTATTATCAAAATCATAGAAATCGAACTTGTGGAGAGAAAAATAAAAATATGTCGAATAAAAATGAAAAATGATGTAATAAAGTGAAATAATTCCAATAGATGGAAACTCAATTGTAGCAAAAGCTAGAAAATCAAGGAGATGGAAATTTCAATAAGAAGTATAATAGAGGTGCCCATTAATTAAATCTTAAAATATCAAATTCTCCAATTTTAAACAAAAAAGTTTCATTTCACCTAGGGTTGTGATCATAAACAGATAGCTTAAAACGATTTTAAAACTTAGTAAAAGAATCAAGCAAAACTGAGATACAAAATCAAGGGCGGTAATTATTAATCAAAAATATGAAGTGACCACAAATTAATATCTATTCATTTCAAATATTCTAAACCTGCATAAAAAGATCATCTCAACGAGAGTTCTAATCGCCAAATTCGTAAATACGTCATACTCCAACATAAACATAATAAATTAAAACTTCTAATTTTAACTTAATTTAAACAAAAACTTCAAACTTACCGTAACAAGCTTCAAATATTTCAATCGAATCGATTTAGCCGGCATCCAATACAGCGTATATAATTCCTTTTATCAATAAATATCAGAAAGAGGAAACAATCTGCTGCAAAGTGAATTTGAGAGAGTATTAATTTGTGACTGTGCTTTAAGAGAGTGTAGAGAGAAAAATAGAGAAACGGTCTATAAATTCAAAAAACAAAAAAAAAACAAAAGATTGCTCCCAAAACATTTATTGGTTCAAGTTTGACAAGCTATGGCACGTTAACGGCTGGGATTCATGGCACGTGTTAAACTCTGCCGGCTATTTTTGTTATATTTTTCAAACGGTTTATATTTTTCAAACTCAATCAATGCGCCGCCTGTTTCGTTAAGAATTAAAATTTCAATTTAAGATAAAATTAATAATTTTAAACATATGTTTCACGGAATTTATTTTTTTATCTTCGTATTTCATTAATTTTTATTAAAATTTACTAAAAATTTAATTTTGATTCCTACAAAAATGACCTAGATAACATTTCAGCTAATTAAATTTTATTTTTAACTATATATACACTGAAACTCGCAACTTTTTTAAAATTTTTTTTAACCTATTTCACTATTTTTTACTAAAATCTGTTACCCAGAGTCCAATAGAAATTTCTTTTACAAGTGACCAGCTCTTACTGGTAATTAATTTTTATGGGTGAAATAGAAAATTAAAATAATTCTTTTCTAGCATCTCATTCAATCATTTTTTCAGGCCATAGTCTATTGTATAGTCTTTAAAAGTGCACTCTCATGTTTCATGAGGGGCCTTTCTTTCTAGCGTAAAAAGGGCATCGTGAGGTAATAATCTACTATGCTAGATTACCTTCATCTTGGTTATCTCGGGACGAAAGATAATATAAACAAAGTTTTACAATAGAGCATTTGAATAGATTGAAAACAATTTGTTGTTGATTGATGAAAAAAATAAATTACAATTGTTGATGCATGGGTGAACACCAGAGTTTAACAAGAATTCGAATGCCAATTACCCTAAAGTAAGAAAAATTTAAATGACGTGAATAGAAGTCTAAAAG